GTATAGAGTTGGAATGGAGTTACCCTGGGAGTCTTCAACATTGACTCCAGACTCCACGGAGTCCAATGCCTTCAGGTTAAACATGGGCAAGGAAACTTCCTGATTAGCATGCACTGTCCTCCCTTGGCTGATGAATCAGTACTCTCCTCCATACTGAATAACACTCAGAGGAAGCACCGAGAGCAGCAAGGGCATAAAATGTACACTGGGTGGGGAATTTCAATGTCCATCACCAAGAGTGGCTCGGCAGCAGCACTACTGATTGAGCTTGTTGGAACCTAAAGTACATAACTGCTAGACTCAGTCTGTGGCAGGTGGTGAGGGAACCAGCTAGAGAGAAAAGCACACTTGACCTCATCCTTGTCAAACTACCAGCTGCAGACGCATCTGTCTGTGACAGTGTGGGTAAGAGTGACCACCGCACAGTCCTTGTGGAGACAAAGTCCTGTCTTGACATTGAGAATACCCTTCAAAACATTGTGTGATACTATCACTGTGGCTAAGTGGGACAAACTTGAAACAAATTGAGCAACTCAAGATCGGGCATCCATGAGGAGTTATTGGCCATCAACAGCAGCAGAATTATATTCCAACACAATCTGCAATCTCATGGCCTGCATATCTCCACTCAACCATTACCATCAAACCAGGGGATCAACCCTGATTCAATGGAGAGTGCAGGAGGGCATGCCAGGAGCAACACCAGGCACACCTAAGCAGAAAGTGATAGACAGAGCTAAGCAATTGATCTGATTTAAGCTTTGCAGTCATCCCACATCCAGTCGTGAATGGTGGTGGAAAACTAAACAATTTACAGGAGGCGGCAGCTGCACAAAAATCCCCATTCTCAATGTGGAAGAACCTAACATATTAGTGCAAAAAATAAGGCTGAACTACTTGCAACAACTTTCAGCCAGAAGTGCCAAGTATATGACCCATCTCAGCCTCATCCAGTCGTCTCCATTGCAACAGATACCAGTCATCAACCAATTTGATCAATTCCACATAATATCAAGAAATGATTGGAGATAGTGGATACTGCAAAGGCTATGGGGCCCTGACAACATTCTGGCAACAGTGCTGAAGATTTGTGCTCCAGAATTTGCTGCTCCCCTTGCCAAACTCTTCCAGCGCAGTTACAACACTGACATCTACCTGACAAAGTGAAAAATTGCCTAGATACATCCTGTACACAAAAAGCAGGTTAAATCCAACCCGGCCAGTTACCGTCCCATCAGTCTACTGTCAATCATTAGTGAAGTGATGGATAGTGTCATCACCAGTAGGATCAAGCAGCACCGGCTCAGCAATAACCTGCTCAGTGACACTAGCTCCTGACCACATTACAGCCTTGGTTCAAACATGGACAAAACAGCTGAATTCCAGAGGTGAGGTGAGAGTGACAGCCCTTGACATCAAAGGGCTCTAGCAAAACTGGAATCAATGAGCATCGGGGACCAAACTCTCCGCAGGTTAGATTCACACCTGGCACATAGGAAGATGGTTGTGGCTGCTGGAGGTCAGTCATCTCAGCTCAAGGACATCTCTGCAGGAGTTCCTCAGGGTAGTATCCTGGCCCAAATACCTTCAGCTGCTTCATCAATCACCTTCCTTTCATCATGAGGTCAGAAGTGGGGATGTTCACTGATGATTGCATAATGTTCAGCACCTTCATGACACCTCAGATATTGAAGCACTTCACATTCAAATGCAACAAGATTTGGACAATATCCAGGTTTGGACCAACACGTGCAAGTAACATTTGTGCTGTACAAATTCCAGGCAATGACCATCTCCAATAACAGAAAACCTCATCACTGTCCCTTGGCTTTCAATGGTGTTACCATCACTGAATAGCCCACTATCAACATCCTTAGGTTACCATTAACCAGCAATTCAACTGGACTTGCCACATAAACACAGCGGCTCCAGGAGCGAGGAATACTGCAGCAAGTAACTCACCTCCTGACTCCCCAAAGCCTGTCCATCATCTCTACAAGGCACAAGTCTGGAGTTAGTTGGAATACTCCCCACTTCCCTGGATAGGTGCAGCTCCAACAACACACAAGGAGTTTGAAATCATCCAGGCAAAGCAGTCCACTTGATGGGCACCACAACCATAAGCATCCGCACCGTCCATCACTGATGATCAGTAGCAGCAGTATGTACTAAGATACATTGCAGAAATTCACAAAAGATCCTTAGACAGCATCTTCCAAACCCATGACGCTACTTCCATCCAGAAAGACAAGGGCAGCAGATATATGGGAATGCTACCACCTACAAGTTCCCCTCCAAGCCATTCACCATCCCGACTTAGCAATATATCGCCACTACTTCACTTTAGCTGGATCAAAATCCTGGAATTCCTTCTCTAACTGCATTGTGGGTCAACCTACAGCATGTGGACTGCAGCGGTTAAAGAAGGCAGCTCACTACCATCTTCTCAAGGACAACTAGGGATAGGCAATAAAATGCTGGCCATCCAGCAATGCCCATGTCCCACGAGTGAAATGAAAAAATTCTTTCCCTTGTAAATCTGAACTATAATTTAATTTGAAGAGTATCAAGGGTAAATTTATATTATAATAACTATTATATTTCCAAAACATGAAGGCCATTTTTTCAAATAAAGACAAAGATACATACTCTTGCTCCTTGAATTTTTTGCTTTCTGTCTCTGCCCATTCTTTTAGTTTGCGTTTCCAATGCCTCACACCATTGTATAAACTCAAAAGCATTTCTTTCTCAGCCAGTACTTATTCTGTCCATGCTGCATTTTGTTAATCAAATGCACTGAAAAGAACGTGCTGTAAAAATGCCAGTATGGGAAACATTACTTCGATTAATGGTGCTAACATTTGTGACCCCTGACAGACAGTGCAAAAGGTTCATACAATGAGATACTTCTAAAGAAAGGCTAGTTAATCCACTAAGAAACAACAGGCAGCAACTAATTAGTAACCAGATGCAGAATGTAAACTCCTAAAGCAGTTGAGTAATTAGAGATTTCTAGGTAAGCCATAAAATTCATTTTGTTGCCAAGATATTTAAAGAGGTTTAAGCTTCATGTGGATGGAACACGTGGTAAAATTTGACTGGAATATCACACAATTGAAATTTGCAGCACAAGCTTGAACTCAGCAGGTGGTTAATAGTCGTCACTGGCTAAAAGAAAGTGGCTTTTTCAGGGTACGTTTAGTTTGTCTGAAAACCTTTGCAAAGTCATTCTTAATTTGTTTTATCAGTTTGAGCTGGCATTAAAAATTGAACTGGCATTTGGACTTGGGTGAACAGAAGTCAACACACGTACAACCCAATGGAGCCAGAGACCTGCAAATCTTTTTGCCCGGTTTAGACATCGCATAGAGGGCAACATTTCCGCTGTTCGCTTTTAGACTATATTGAAGAGGAATTACAGGGATACTTCTAGCCCTATTTGTCTGGACTTTTCTTCCTTATTTGTACAGACAGGCACAATAAGCCTGACCTGAGTTCAAACTGCTTGTGGCTGATTAAATTGAGTGCCAAACAGGGACTGGAAACCACTCAAATGTGTTTAATTTCCTTTGTGTGCTATTTTAAGTCAACCAGTTAACATGTTTGCACAATTGCCTGTGTGCGCTACTTCATATGAATCTGCAACATGGCATTTTAACAAAATAAAATGCACAGAGGGAGTTCATTTCGTTAATAATTAGTCTTTTGCTAGAAGGTTTCTCACTCTAAATTATGTATGGTGCTGGTGGAAAGAATATTTTATACTCATCTGAAGAATCCAGTCATTGAACAAGAAATATCAAAGATGAACAAGGCCAAGCTAACTTACACTGATATTTTGAATTGGCTCAGATCTGTGCTCATCCCTAGTTTCAATGCACTCTGTGCCAGAAATTCTCTAGACACACAAAGTCTGAGGTAAACATGTCCTGCATCCCCCTCTCCCCAGCCCCTGGCCCAAAAGTCAGACATTACTTCAGAAACTTGAAGGATCAGTTGATAACATTAAAGCACTAAAATTCATTTTGAATTCTGGAAAATTGAGGCCATGATCAGAAAGAGGGGCTGCAAATCCACCTGTGGTGCAGCTACGTCATGGTAATAGAACATTTATTGGTGCTTTTTTTTTTAAAAAGAAACCTTTCCAGCAATATCTGCTCACATTTCCACATTTATCAAAAAATAAATTCTGTACGTGCCTTCTTCATCTACCTGATGTTTCAAGCAGGATCTTTCCAACAGGTTCATGTATTCTCATGACTGGTTAAGTGATTCTGTTGGACTTGAATGTTTTTCTCATTAGTAACAGTATTTACATAATCTGTGCATGAATGTTGACAAGATAATCCCCAGTGCCTTGATTATTGCTAAATACGAGTATAAAAATGTAAAAGGCTGAGGAAGACAGTCAAATTGACTGCATCCAAACTGAATGTTATTTAAAACCATTACACTTCACTCACAAACATACCCTGATTGTGTTAAAGCATGAATAAAACAGGAAGTTCTTTACCTAGTGTGAAACTGTAATCAAAACAAAGAAGGGACTGGTGTCAGTGATGAAACTATTTAAGCAGACAACTATGTTCTCTCTAATTTTTCCTGTCGTTGCATGGATCTCTAAGATCCATGGTGACCGTGACCTCTGGAACTGGAAGTCAATGCGCCCACATGCAACAAGCATGGACCCACTGAGCAGCTGTGCAGCTTAGAGGGTATGTTGCAGGCAACAATTTATTAGACAGTGAAAATGAGGACTTATAAACCAGCTGGAATATTACTTCCACTTGGATGACATCAGGCAGAGAAAAATAATGGTCGAGGGTTCAACTTTGGCTGCAGGGGCCAAAGATGTTATTCTAACCCACAGTATCACCCACCCTGCCCATTCTTTCTTATTAACTTGAATGAACATTCAGGACTGTAATCTCTTACTGTTTGAAGGAAAAGACAAGATAGCAATAACAATAAAAGTGAAGGTTCTAAATTAAACTCTACACTCAAGCCTAAGTGCAGCCAAAAGGTTGAAGTATTACAAGCAACAGCTTCTGGGTGTAGCTCATAATGACAATGTTTCATACATTACAAGCAGTCTGAAGTGTCCCTTTTCCGTACAGTCAACTTATGAGCAGGCTGCCTAAAGTTCACTGACACAACAAAACATATATTAACTCTTGGATGACCACAATCACATTCTTGCACCCCAATACAAAACTTAGCCATGTTTCATTTCCCTAGTCAGGGCACTTCAAAACAACCACTTTGATAAAGCATGAAAATGTTCTTGAGGAATGTGATAAGGGACTAAATAAATGCTGATTATTTTTTCTTTGCTATTTTGTTTAAAAATAAGTTCAAAAATGTTACATTATCTCATTTTCCTTTGATTTTACGTCAGAGCTACTGAAGTGATAAATTTAAATGAAATCTTTTGCAAATGACATCTGCGTATTTTGTGAACTTCACTGCCACCAACTCCACTTCAAAGAAACATTTAAAGGCAAACATAAGAAACAAGAATCAGAGTAAGCCACATGGGCCCTTGAGCTTGCTCTGCCATTCAATTCGATTGTGACTGATCATTAGTCTCAACCCCAATTTCCTGCCCACCCCTTGTATCCATCGATTCCCTGACACCAAAAATCTTTCTCAGCCTTAAATGTATTCAACAAGAGCATCCACCATTTCCTAGGAAAGAGGATTCAAAAGAATCACAAAACTTTGAGGGGAAAAAAATTACCCTCATCTTAGTCTTAAATGATCAGCCTTTATCTTGAGATTGTGCCACTGTGTTCTAAGTTCCTCAACCAAGAGAAACAATTGCTCAGTATTTACCCCAGAACAGAAAGCACTCGTAACTGAACAAGTGACATGTCATGGACCGCTCCTTTACTGAGAAAACTTAGCATTCATATGACCAGAAGATTAGAGAGCAAAATCCAGAATCAATGTAACACAAGAACTTACCTGAATATCTTTGTACTTGTCTTTCAAATCCATGAGTCGATGGTATGCCTTAATGCCATCTCCAAATTCGCCAACATCTATGCAGGTAAATAAGTAGTTCTCCCAGATCTGCCAGTGCTCATAATTACATTTAATGGCTTCCTGGAGAGCTCGCAGAGCTTTGCTTCTATGTAATACAGAATTATATAACAAACCAGTCACACTTCCTGGATTTTACAGAGTTTTTGCATGATATGCTTGCATTGAGTTTGACTGACAAAAGTAAGGCTAAATAGTTTCTTTGTATCTTTTAATTCATAACCGGAGATGTTCACCAGCTAACGCTACAAAGGAAAATTTGCTTATTCTTTGCAAAAGAACGTTAAAAAACTTCCCCTGTTTTAAATCGAGTGTATTTCAAGAATACAATAGCACAAATTTTGATTTAGTTTTGTACTATAAGCATGTGCCCTCAGGTTTCAATCCTGCAATTGAGACAAAATACCTTAATTCTTTCGACAAACTATAGGTCAACGGCTTCTGGCTCAGATATTCCACGGCTTACAATGTAGTTGTACTGTATTGAAACATTATTGTAGAAAAGGCACAAGCAAGAAGGATCAGTCTATTAAACAACTCTGCGTGCTTATATCAAGTGTTTCAAAGTAAAAATATTAAGTCTATTGGATGCACTGACAAAGCAGACCTATTTGTCACAGCAATCCTGTATGAAATGTTTTCAATATAAGCTCTTAAATAGTCAGAAAGGCTCAAAAGTATAAGATATACAAAATTGTTCAGAATTCCTTTATTTTATAGTCTCACAATAACAGGTACATGTACACAACTTACTTTTCTTTTAATCGGATATACGCTGTTGACAGATTGTTCCAAGCTTCTGCATTCTGAAAGAATAGAAACATGTACAATGAATCCATACCTTCAACCGGAGATAGATCTGATGTAATGATTTCATATCTGCCCAGTTACAATACTTAAGATGCGGAGTTGCCGGTGTTGGACAGGAGTGGGCAAAGTCAGATGTCACACAACACCAGGTTATAGTCCAACAGGTTTATTTGGAATCACAAGCTTTCAGAGCACTGCTCCTTCGTCAGGTGATGAAAACTTGTGATTCCAGATAAACTTGTTGGACTATATCCTGGTGTCATGTGACTTCTGACTTTACAGGCTGATGGATCACTAAATTTCTAACAGTTCAAGGTTCACACTATGATGGAGAAATTGGATCATGTTGATGCTTTTTAAAACTGTTCTTTGCAAGGTTTAAACTTTCATTCTTAGTCCCATTTCTCATGATGCCTCCTTACCAATTCTTTCATGCTCTCTGACGTCAAAGATTCAGGTGAAATACCTGTAGGAGGAAGACTTGAAGGACAACAAAAGAAAGGTGAAAGTGCAGGACCAGCTCATTCAAAAAGCCTGCACAGACATAATGGATTACTTCTCGTATGTTTTCATGAAATTGATTCATCTTCAGTTTGGCATTAATTATTTAGATCACAGATTGAGACAACCGCTACAATAATCAAACTGTGTCAAAATTAAGTTAAGCAAGAATAACAAAAATTAGAGGTACACTGCGAGACTGTGCTACATCTGGGGGGTCAGGTCATTTTAAATTTTAAACTTTTCTTGGATCCCTAGCAGCTGCAATTTTCAAAACCATTATAGAGGAAAAGCTGGAAATAGAAATGGTCTAAAAGTTGGCATTTCATGGAAGCTAACTGAATGTTCTAGTTAAGACCTACACCACATGGGGCATATAATGTTCCATTCCACATAATTTTCTCTGTAATTGTTCACATGATCTCTAATTTCATGTTTGTCATGCTGAGGAATGTCAGCACTGGGACCGTTCTCTTATTCTGGTGCCCATTGTTTGCACTGACCATTTTGAGAGCTTGGAACACTCGCTCAGCAAAGCCATTAGAACTCAAACAGCCAAATGAGGGATAGCATATTGGAGCCTAGTCTTTATTCTTGAACAAATGTCACTGACATACACATAATACATCTTGTGCAGCTCAAACCACCAATCCATCTTTCAGCTTGATCACATATATATTTGCACAGGTGAGTTCCCAAACAAGACCCACCACTGGAATCCAACTGAATGGCCAATGATATAATACAATGACCACTGTCTGCCCGTTAACATGACTCAGTGGCAAGTAGCAGCAATCCTTGTTGTGAATTTTTCCATATTTGTTTGGCCAGAACATATTTTTCTCTAATAATTAGGAACTGAATAAATATTATAAAAATCACTGAATCAACCCTCTTTACCTAAATGGAGGTGGCTGAGAGAATTAAGACCATAATCACCCATTCCAAAATTCCACAATCAAATCTCCTGGGGAGTGTTGCTGAACAAAGAGACCATGGAGTGCTGATTCATAGTTCCTTGAAAGTGGAGTCACAGGTAGATAGGATCGTGAAGAAGGCATTTGGTATGCTTGCCTTTATTGGTCAGTGCATGGAGTATAGCAGTTGGGGGATCATGTTCCAGCTGTACAGGACATTGGTTCGGCTACTTTTGGAGTATTGCATGCAATTCTGGCCACCCTTCTATAGGAAGGATGTTGTGAAACTTGAAAGGGTTCAGAAAAGATTTACAAAGATGTTTCCAGGGTTGGAGGATTTGAACTATAGGGAAAGGCTGAACAGGCTGAGGCTATTTTCCCTGGAGCGTTGGAGGCTGAGGGGTGATCTTATAGCAGTTTATAAAATCAGGAGGGACATGGGTGGGATGAATAGTCAAGGTCTTTCCCTGAGGTGGGGCAGTCCAAAACTAGAGGGCACAGGTTTAAGGTGAATAGGGAAAGATATAAAAGGGACCTAAGGGGCAACATTTTCAGAGGGTGGTGCGTGTATGGAATAAGCTGCCAGAGGTGGTGGTGGTGGCTGGTATGGTTACAACATTTAAAAGGCATCTGGATGGGTATATGAATAGGAAAGGGTTAGAGGGATACGGGCCAAATGCTGGCAAATGGAACTAGATTTATATAGCATGGATGAGTTGGACTGAAGGCTGTTTCCATGCTGTGTATCTCTATGACTCTATTTGTCCATCACCCAAATCTCCACTTGTAAAATGTTGATGTATAGTTTAAATTGTCATCAATTAATTGTTCTATTCTTAGTCAAATCTACACATTGTAAAATAAAGGGCAACAGGTACATTACAGTATCACCACCTGTAAGTTCCCCTGCATATTGCACACTATTCCGAAATATATTGCCATTTCTTCATTACTACTGGGTCAAAATTCTAGAATTCCCTCCTCACCATATTTGTGGATGTACCCACAATACATGAACTAAGTTGTTCAAGCTGGCTTTTCACCTTCTCAATGGTAATTGGGAATGGGAAATAAATGCTGGTCCAGCCAGTGATACCTACAGCCCAAATAAGAGAACAAATAAACTGGGTGAAGGCTATACCCAGTTTACGGCTCAAAGTTCCAACAAAGGAATATCAAGAAGCTCTCTCACAATTAAATATATATCCAATCATAAGACTGTGCAAAGATACAAGATCAATTTCACAAAGATTGTTTCCAGTCATACAAGTACTCTGCACAAAACATACTCAAGTGCCTGTCATCGAGACAGTAAATCTCAGACTCCTCCTGTAGTACAGCAAGTGAAACTGAATGTTTCTGCCATCTGTATCTTTGATGATCAACCACCTGGACAGACATCAACTTTGATGTGGCTGTAACTCAAAAGGTAAATTGTATGATTTCCAGGCTCACTGAAAAATTCGGCCTGCAACAAATGGTTGACTGGCCTCAGCAGTGGTGACCAGTTGTCAATGACAAAGACCTTCTGCCTACCAACAATGATCCGATTGGCTCCCAGATAACTGAACAGCTTGTGTGTATAAACAATATGGTCAGAAGCCTTATGGCCACTGGAAAGGGAGAAGGTGTCTATTTCTTGCAGTAAAAAATACCTAAAGCCTGAAGACAGTCAGTACATTTCTCCTTACCAGTTGCTGTAAGCTATTGCTTTCAACCAGTAAGTCAGAGGCTTTATAAGATGTGAACCAGTCACTCTATACCTCCTGTAAGCAAGTGCAAGTACCTGGAGAAGAGAGATCGAGAAGCCAAAGGAATCCCGGAGAAGTCAAAGGATCATATCAGTGAACCTTGAGGACAGGGACCACTTAACTGTCTTCCCAGTCATTCCCTCCACCCGTGTCTGCATGTATGTGTGCGTGCGCGTGCGTGTGTAGAGGAGTTTTAGAAGGGGTTCAGAATTTTAACAGGTACAGCTAGATGCTGACAGTTCATAATTCTTTCCCTATAGCTAGAAACTATTTGCTTGTAATAAACAGTAATTCTTGATAAGTTCAGAAGCTTGGTCTGTGCTTTCTGTCAACCTGGGTCTAAAGGCAGATAAATTAGGGAATTTTGTATATTTTTAAAAAAAATTAACTTTTGCGATGACTCTAGGAATAGCAGGGGTTGATTTCCAGTGTGTTACCCCAAAAAGGCATGACAAATTAAGTGAGGAAGGAAAGAGCTTTGCTTTGGTGGATCCACAAGTAGTAAAGGATTTCACAGCATCTCAACAAAATAAATAATTTGGATAGACATGAAATGGCCAGGGCTTGCCCTGCACATTTGCCTTCAACTAAAAGCACAAAGTAATTGTTTTCACAGGATGATCCATTTTCATTTCTGATGCTTTTTAAAATAAGAAATTGCTTGTGACAGTGGCAATAATAAATCTGCAGGAGGTATGGGCTTTGTGTAAGCTAATGAACTGTTCCCATTAAATTCTACAAGTGGCTAGGAGCCATCAAAATGCCAAATCAAAATATTTACAGAAATATAAAGTGCAAACGTATTTCATAGAATCCCTCGGATAGTTTTAGTCACATGTATATACTATTCAGAATGATTTGCAATTCTATTACACATCAATGGGTGATGAATTAAAACACTTTACGTGCTTGCCTCTAAATTACTGTCATGATAGTAGTTTATTTAAGTAACATGCAGTCAAAGTTTAAGAACATTTTCAGCTGCTCCCTCTTCTCTGGCCATGTGGATGCTAAGCATACATAATAAGCTACACAAGTGCTGGGCATCTAAATCTAGCCACCAAACTATGTCCTTTAATTATATTTGTTGTAATTGCTTTTTCAAATTATGAAACTAACTTTACTTTAAATCTCGTGAAACACTACAGACTCTAAGATGTGTTCAGATTCTTAGATCCAAGCACTTTCTATGCCAAACTGAGTAGTTATAAATTCGGGACTGCAAGACTCCGGTATTATTCAGAAAAAGTATTCAAAAATAAATTGAGATATATTTGCACTATAACACAGAAGTAATGAATCAGCACTAACCTGAATACAGCATTATAGGTTAAATGTACATCAATTAGGTGTTAATTGTATTTAGATGGTGGCTATCAACTGGGGACTCACCTGTCTGTATTATGAAAGCAGACTTAAAGAGGGACAGTTGGTTAGAGGTACACAGTATGAATATGCCTCTCTGTAAATAAAAGCTTCTAACAGCATTAAGACCAGTTTTGATAAAGGGCCACATGCTTGAAAATGACAACTCTGTATCGCTGCTGCCAGACCTGCAAAGTTTCTTCAGCATTTTGTTTTTATTATTTTGAGTATTGTCTGTGTTTATTATTCTGTAAAGAATAAACCTCAGTTTTCTGTCCTTCAATGCCTGGCCATCTGAGTTCAAATTTTATCTTCTTCACGAATTGGGTTAAGTGAAATTCTGTCTCGTGTCAAACTTGATTATTATTCAAACATCAGACAATATTCAAATAACCATGCATTTTTCTTTAAGCATCTATGAAAAGCCTTAATTTTTTTCTCCAATAATGCCTTCCACATATAATGGAGGCTCTTTGCTGAATTTGGATGCTGTATGAAGTGGGCAAGTGATTTACCTCTAATGGTGAGAAATACCTACCTAACAGGGAAGCAGTGCACCATTTGAAAAACACAGACAAGTGGTAAAACAGATACCCACCTGGACAGTTCAGCCAGGCTACACTTCAAGCAAATAAAAAGAAACTGGCTCATATACCATAATTGCTGCCTTTAGAGTTATTTCTGTTCTGAGACAGGGTCCTTGCTGTATGGTACTTACATCAGGTTCCAACATCACACATTTTTGAAATGCTTTTGCAGCACCTTCGAACTTTTCCAACCCCAGATACGCACAGCCCAAAGAAAACCAAACTCCAAGCTGGAAAAAATACAGAAGACACGTTAAAATGTTTTTTTACAGCTATTAACGCTATAAACAAGTTAAACAAATCTTTACTCCATGTAACCAATCCCACAGTGATAGACAGAAATGGGATTCTCCATAACTATCAACTTTTTTACTACAGATTTTAAACCTTTATTCAAATAGTAACTTTCAATGAATCTAACTTAGACTTGATGCCAACACAAATACAGAACTGTACAGTTTAATGATGGAGTATTCAATCGGCTCACACACTGCACCCTGTCTTAGCATTGTCACGTTACATGCAACCCCACCACACTGTTCTGTATCTGTAAAATCTTCCTTTCTGTCCTGTTTTGACTCCGTCACCTTGATAATTTGTCATGATCTCTTTAATTTAATTAGTTTGTACACTTTTGGATTACTTATTACTTTGGTTAGACCCTCAGCATATGACTTTTATACCTATTATGTTATTCCAGTCATTTAGCTTGTCTCCAGCACCACCTTATTTTTAATTTTTGTAATTATCTCTCTGCCTCATGCAATCAGATTATAGGTCATCCCTTTGCTCATCATTCAGATGCTGACATTTTACTCACACCATCTGATACTCTTGATCACCTGCAGAGACCTATTATTCAGCTTGTTGGCACTCCACTCATACCATCCGTATGATCTTTTGATCTCTCTGCCTATAAATTCTGTGCCTGTCTGCTTCTCTCTCACTTCACCTGAAGGGGCAATACTCTGAAAGTTTGTGATTTCAAGTACACCTGTTGGACTACACCTGGTGTCGAGTGATTTCTGATCTTGTCCACCCCAGTCCAACACTGGCACCTCCACATCTTAGCACGGCCTGCCACCGAATCATAGAATCCCTACAGTGTGGAAACAGGCCATTCGGCCCAACAAGCCCACACCGACTCGCCCCTCTACACTATCCCTGTAACCCTGCATTTCCCATGGCCAATCCACCTCACCTGCACATCTTTGGACTGTGGGAGGAAACTGGAGCACCCGGAAGAAACCCACGCAGACACGGAGAGCATGTGCAAACTCCACACAGCTGCTCAAGCCTGGAATTGAACCTGGGTCCCTGGCACTGTGAGGCAGCAGTGCTGATGGTTAAACCAACCAATAGCTTCAAAAGGGCAAGCTCTAGCATTAATATGTCTATGCAGCTCCTCGATTTTAAGCAATGAAGCAAAGAGCCCCAAAGTTGAACCTTCACAGAGGTTCCGACAAGGCAAAATCTGTCCAACACTCATGGACCATGTAGCCCCAATTGCAATGTTGTCCCAGTGGAGAACAATTAACAGAACAAAGATCAAATACTGAACCTAGAAGTTTTCTGACTTATTAAACATCATACATTAGCACAATACATTATGCATTCGCTCACTATGATTTAAGATATGTGATTTATTATATATTAAAATCATTTATTTCAGGGTTTGAATTTTGAGCTAAAGGCATGACTTTCTAAACTGAGGGTGTGTGTTGGTGGAGTGATATTGGAAATTTGTTTGCATTGTGACAGTTTTTATGATTGGATAGAGTCAACATTGAGAATCTTGCTTTCAGTTTAGAAGAATCTGTTTTTTTTTTGGCTTAGGGAAAACCCATAACTTGGAAAGTTTCTCGTTTCACTTTATAGAAATCTTGGTTGAAGTTGGATGTAGGAACAGTTGTTCCTAAAGAAGAGTTCCCTCAGTGTAAGAGTTTTAGTTTGAAATTCCAGACTGAAAGCGTTGGGTTAGAACTGAGCAAATAATTAGCGAAGAGGCTATTAAACTCTCAAGACCAGGAACTGGAAAAAAGAGTTAAGTCACATCCATGGCTGCAATAGAGGTGGGGGGGAATCTCTCCAGTATTTCAGTATTGTAAAGGCATGGTTCTGGGATAAATGGGAGTGTATTTTTACCATGTGTTTCAAAATCTTTTAAGTTGGGTTATATGTGATAAGTTTGTTTATTCCACTTTTTCTTCATTTCACTTGCACAATAAACTTGAGTTTTATTATTAAAAATTGTGTGCTTGCCTTTCAATGAGATACCATCTCATTAAATAAGAAAAAAAGTGATCTATCAAGGCAGCTTTTAGTCTGGGATCTGACCAGTCCAACAGTAGAATCAGCAGGGATCATAAGGCTACTGAATTACTGGGAAAGTATCTCGAGAAACTAAATCTTCAGTCAACTGCTTTGAAGTCAAAGTTGCTGCATTGTCAAGAAGTGTACTCTGCAACCATGTGTCTGATTTGTTGCAAGGTGTTACTTGTGCTCTTTGCAATACATGTGAACTTCCATAAAAAATCCCGAGTTGCCATAAAATAGCCCAATTGCATTTACGTATGCACAATGGCTGACAGAAATCACAATCATTGGACTTCTTGATACCAACTACATTATGGATAGTCAAGTTTGCACGATGTTCACAGCTGAGATTAGATTTTGTGTTCCTCGATTATCCAGGAAAACTGAGATAAGGACAATCCGCACTGATTTGCTTCAAATACTCCGGAGCCAGAAAACTCAAGTTACACTCCTAGTTCTGTGTTGCTCTACACAAAGTGGAAGCAGAGCACAAGTGTCAACATCTTGTATTAAACTGTACTGCAGTTGACCAAGAGGGTTTTTAATAGACGCTATAAAGTTGACAGTTCCATTTCATTTCAGTAAGATATGTTGCTATTAGTTTCCATCTCCATTGCAATCCACCCTGTCTCCGCTTACATCCTTCTGAAACCCTCATTCACACCTTTGTTTTCCCAGACTTTATGATTTGAATGCTCTTCAGGCCAGCCTCAGATCTTCTACACTCCAATAATAGTTGACAAATGTGGATTTGGCCACAAATGAATAAAGCCATGCTGAAATCAACTTCACCAAAGCATCAGGGACTAAAAGAGATTTCCACTTGTCCCTCGAATTGAGGATGGCGTTTAGTCAGGGCTGCAAGTTTCTGCCGTGACCCTTCATGTGTCTGAAGAAGATTATTTTTAACCTCTCGATCGTCGAGCACGTGGGGAAGAATATCCCACATCGCAGTTGTAAGTCCAAAGTTCACGATTTACTCACTTTTTGTAAGCTTCTTCAAGCATTAATGTCAATCTTGCCATGCTTCAATGAGATCTCTCCTGGAACATTGGCCTTTTAAAAGTTTAGAGAACAGGACTTGGCAGAGGAGACTGTTTCCGGCCATCTGGACTCATCAAAGTTGATTTTGCAGGAGTTTTGCGGAATATCCCTAAGAAGGACACTAGTGTTTTTTTGATGGCCCTTCTACTGAACTGGAGGCTGGGGCGGAAGCATTGCAGATTCAATTTCTCAAGTGCTGTTAGGTTTCACTGATACACGGTCCAGGTCTCACTGTAGTGAGTGAGTGTGGAGATGACAACTGCTTTGTACATTAGGACTATAGTTGACTTGCAATGGTCTTTGCTTTCAAACACTCACTGATATTGTTTACAGAAGACTGAGCTGGCGCAGTGTTGGATCTCCTTATCAATTGCAATCTTTTGAACAGGTGGCTGCCATGATGTGGGAAGTGCTCAACATATTCCAGGGTCTAACCTTCAAACATACATGGAAGGTAGAGTGCTGGCCAGGTATAGGGTGACATTCGAGGTGTGTTCTAATAACATTGAAGGACTTGTTTATTGTATGCAGAATTGAAGAGATCAAGAGCGGCTTGCAAATCTGGTGCAAAGTGGGTAGAAACATCACAGCATATCTATAATGGTCAGTTTAGTTTTGGAATAGTGGTAACTAAGGTTAAAGGTTCTTAATCCATCCAACTATTCAGTTGCAAACGTGTCTACTAAAAATACAAAGCACATTGCCACAGCTGGCAATGGACTGGTCTAAGACAAGGGATAGAATTACTTGGACTGTACAAAATGTAAAGAGGTCTTTTTACAATTCACTGACAAGACTTTCAAACAGTAGTCAGGTTGACAGAGCTAAGCAAATAATTCTTTGCTGACTGTAGACTATCCTGTGCAATCATTTTTAATGAAACTAAAAGTCAAGCTTTTTGTTCAAAACCAGCAGACTCTGTGATTAATGTGTAGGCATTACAAAAGGTTTGGTTAATTTTGACTGACAAGTGAGGTGATATCAAACAGACGCTATTTACCTTCATGGCAGACTAGGTCACATGACTTTGTCTCGGATCACTTTACTCTTTCTCCCACTCAGGAGGGCCAAGAACAGTCAACACACTTACACAAGAGAGCCACAGTTAAGCTTTCCAACAGACAAAGAATTAAAAACTAATTGCACATCAACTTAACCTTAAGATCTGTTTAAGATAGAGCAGACACATAGGGAAGTGCTGCAGTAAGGTAGGCTCTTACTTCACATGCTGGCCTTCAATTTTTTTTTAATGGATTGCCCTGCATTGTCAGAAAATGTATTCCACATCCTGTAATGCACAGGGAACAGTTGTGAAGGTTCAAGACAAAGAAAACAGATATGCTAAAAGAGAGTAAGGCATCGCACATAAAGCAAAGAATACACAGCTGAATTGACAGAAAATTTCAGCAAAGTTAAAGTTACAACTTTGTAATGTTGCAGGATTAGTAATTGTAGCCTAGGGTAATGTCCTAGGGACGTTATGGCATGGCAGCTGGTGGAATTCAAATTAAATTAATAAATCTGGAACTGAAAGCTACTCTCAGTAATCCTGACCTTCAACAATGGTTGTTAAAGTGCCATCTGGTTCAATTTGTCCTTTAGGGAAGCAAATCTGCAATGTTTACCTAGTCTGGTCTACACCTGACTCCAGATCCAAAGCAATATGGTCGACTCTTAACTGCCCTCTTAAGCAGTTGAGCAAGCCACTCAAGGGCAATTAGAATGGGTAAAAAATGGCCTTGCCAATGTGGCCCAAATCTCATTTAAAAAAGATACATTTCAAAAATTAAAGGCGCCAACAAAGAATATGGATTAGGAAAAGCAGAAGTGAGATTTTCTTAAAAAGTAGTTGAAAGCAAAATGAGAGGGT